CTCCCGTCCAGCAGAAGGGCTCGCCCTCAGGTGAGCCCAGGGAGATGGGAACCGCTCCCTCAGGAGTTTGCCCAGGGTCCCAAAAGACCCTCCTTTAGCAGCACTAGGTTATGGTGTCTGTGCCCTTTGTGGTCTAGAGGCTCCCCTACGTGACTGTGGGGAACGTGAGCAGAGCCGGCCCAAGGTATGGGCCAGCCGGGCTACTGCCCAGGGCTCCCCATTGTAGGGGGCGCCGCGCGGGGCTGCCGGGCTGGGCAAGGGAAGCACCACACATGCTCCACGCACCTGGGGTGGTGCCACGCATGTGCCAGGGGGAGGGGCTGCGCATGTGTCCCACTCCCAGGGGCGGCACCGCGCTGCCGGGGCAGAAGCTCCAGAAAGCTCTGGAAACAGAGGCAGAAGCTCCAGAAAGCTCTGGAAACAGAGGCAGAAGCTCCAGAAAGCTCTGGAAACAGAGGCAGAAGCTCCAGAAAGCTCTGGAAACAGAGGCAGAAGCTCCAGAAAGCTCTGGAAACAGAGGCAGAAGCTCCAGAAAGCTCTGGAAACAGAGGCAGAAGCTCCAGAAAGCTCTGGAAACAGAGGCAGAAGCTCCAGAAAGCTCTGGAAACAGAGGCAGAAGCTCCAGAAAGCTCTGGAAACAGAGGCAGAAGCTCCAGAAAGCTCTGGAAACAGAGGCAGAAGCTCCAGAAAGCTCTGGAAACAGAGGCAGAAGCTCCAGAAAGCTCTGGAAACAGAGGCAGAAGCTCCAGAAAGCTCTGGAAACAGAGGCAGAAGCTCCAGAAAGCTCTGGAAACAGAGGCAGAAGCTCCAGAAAGCTCTGGAAACAGAGGCAGAAGCTCCAGAAAGCTCTGGAAACAGAGGCAGAAGCTCCAGAAAGCTCCGGAAACAGAGGCAGAAGCCCTGGCTTGGCAGCTGCTGCTCAGGACCCATTTCCCATGCATGACACATTTTAGCTGGATAAGCCGCCGTGGTGCCCAGTTTGACATTTCTGAGGGTACAAGCAGGTGACCAGATGACGGGCTAGCATAAGGAGTGTCCTGCGATTCGGGGCTTTGTCTTATGTACACGACTAGGTCCACCCCTCTGAAAAAAAGCAATGGCCTCATTTTTCACACTTTTTATCCTGCACCTTGCTGGCCTAGGTGCAGGTACAGGATCACAGACAGTGACTGTGGCGTGATCGGAAACCCAACCCAAAGCTCAGCAGCTTTGCCAATGTAACTAGAGCAGTGGCTTTAATACAGTTTAAACTGGTGCAAAAGGCTGTATGGACGCTCTTATTTCAGTTTGATTTACATCAACTGATTTCAATCTTCATCAGAGATTTCGATGATGGCGTAGAGAAGATGCTTATTAAGTTTGCAGATGATACCAAGCTGGGAGGGGTTGCAAGTGCTTTGGAGGGCAGGGTCAACATTCAAAAGGATCTGGACAAACTGGAGAAATGGTCTGAGGTAAACAGGATGACATTTAATAAGGACAAATGCAAAGTGCTCCACTTGGGAAAGAACAATCCATGTCACACACACAGAATGGGAAGCGACTGTCTAGGAAGGAGTACGGCAGGGAGAGATCTAGGGGTCATAGTAGACCACAAGCTAAATACGAGTCAACAGTGTGATGCTGTTGCAAAAAAAGCAAACATGATTCTGGGCTGTATTAACAGGAGTGTTGTGAGCAAGACACGAGAAGTCATTCTTCCGCTCTACTGTGTGCTGATTAGGCCTCAGTTGGAATATTGTGTCCAGGTCTGGGCACTACTTTCCAAGGAAGATGTGGAGAAATTGGAGAAGGTCCAGAGAAGAGCAACAAAAATGATGAAAGATCTAGAGTACATGAGCTACGAGGGAAGGCTGAAGGAATTGGGCTTGCTTAGTTTAGAAAAGAGAAGACTGAGAGGGGACATGAGAGCCGTTTTCAAGTATCTAAAAGGGTGTTACCAGGAGGAGGAGGGAGAAAGATTGTTCTCCTTGGCCTCTGAGGATAGGACAAGAAGCAATGGACTTAAATTGCAGCAAGGGAGGTTTAGGTTGGACATTAGGAAAAACTTCCTGTCAGGGTGGTCAAACACTGGAATTAATTGCCCAGGGAGGTTGTGGAGTCTCCATCTCTGGAGATATTTAAGAGCAGGTTGGACAGACGCCTGTCAGGGATGATCTATGTGCTTGGTCCTGCCGTGACGGCAGGGGACTGGACCTGTTGAGCTCTCGAGGTCCCTTCCAGTTCTAGTGTTCTAGGGTTGTATGAAGGGGACAGGGTTATGCTCGACCAAATAAGCCCTTCTTGAACTGAAATAAGAGTGTCCACAGAGAGATTTCACTAACCTGAGGGCACATCTGTATGTAAACAGAGCCCTAACAAAATGGGTGCACGTCTGTGTGTAGGCCAGCCCTGAATCGGCCGTTTAGACATAACTCCTGCTCCCTCTTTGTAGCCGGGTATCTGATCCCTCCTCCCTTCTCGCGCCTTGTGTTCTGCCCTTCCAGTTGGCCACCCACTTCATGTCTGTGACGCTGGCAGACCAGGTACAAGCAGGGTCATTCCTAGAGGGACGTGGGGCTCAGAGCAAGCCCCTGCCCTGCCCACGCCCCACCTCTTCCCACCGCGCTGTGCCCCCGCCTCACACCCACTCCACCCCGTCCTCCATACTCCGCCTTTGGTTCACTTCTGTTCTTCTCTGTCCCTCCCCTGGTCTGCTCAGCAGGGACGCCCCCCACCCCCGCTGGTCCTGCCTCTCCTCACCTGGACTGCAGATGCTCCACCTGCACCTGGAGGTTCTCGCTTTGTTCTGTCTGCTCATCCAGGGACCTCTGCAGTTTCCGTGCCTGGTTGTGGGCTTCATCGAGCTGCAAGGCGGACAGAAACACGGCTGGATTGGCCGAGGGCCACCGCCAGCCACAGCCCCGGGCAGGCGTGTCCTTCTCACCCACCGTCCCCGCCGCTTGCCAGACACACGGCTCGCGGGCAGCCCAGTGCTCTGAGACGAGAGGGGAGGATCTAGGATGGGATGGGAGGTCCTGGATTCCGGCGTTCCTTTTCTCCCCTCTGTAACAGTGGCACGGCGCCGAGACCGGCTGTGGACAGAGACTGTCTCAAGGCCTGACCCTGGCCTGAAG